CGCACTTAGGGCATTTTGCGAAGAGAAAAATCGAATGATAATCTTTCTAGGGGCAGGTCAAATGAAATGACAAATCGGGTTTTTTTAAAAAGAGGTAGAGTTTGACCCTTCCGTTCACAGACTAAAAAGCAACTTCAATAGTATTTTGTGGGGAAAAAGTTCACATCACGGTTAATCTTTCTTCAGGGCAGGTTAAATGAGATGGGACAATGCATGTGTTTTATTTTCGTTCCGCGGTACAGCATAACATTGTGTACAATTGAAATAACCTCGCTCCCATGCATACACAATGGATTGGGTACAAGGTTCTTTAGTGGTTGGGTTAAAATTGGACGGATCAAACAAAAAAATCAAAAGCTTTATTAAAATTGAGAAAAACAAACTTTTGGTTTGTGAACAAACACTTTTCAGCAAAGCTGCAGGGAACAGTTGGTAGGGCAAGGGCGCCAGTAGTCTATGGAATAAGGTTGCAGACAAGCGTCTATGATATTCGCGAATATTCGCGATCAATTATGCAAAACATATCTGCGTCTTGATCTCCTGATCCTGACCATTCAGCGGGCGCCTTCTATCGGGTCCTGCGTAACCCGTTATTGTATTACAAAAACATGGCAGACAACTGACCAATCAACACTTTAGTCCACATTTCTGATCGAAATGACGTATCAGTTTGTACAGTCGACTCCGATTGGCTGGAACGCGGGGTCGCATAAAATTTGCATGCAATGATATATCAGGCGTTCGTGGTGTGGCTCTGCACACATGAATGCCTGATCCTCAAACTATATGGCGCCAGATGCCAGTTACCGAGGTATCACAGCAGTTAAAAGTACTGCATGAGGAAGACGATGGCATGTTTAACCTTGGGATATAACTGTGGCTTTTTTATTATTATTACATGAATAACGGCGAAAGGGGAAGGGGGATAAAATGAGCTTTAAAGTGCCCCCTCCCCTCCAGGAAATTAGGCCGCATATGAGGCCGCAAATGAGGCCCCAAATGAGGCACTTTGCCACATACGATCCAATCTATTCGGCAAGGTTGCTGCTGGTGATGAGCTGTGCATCCGGGCATTACAACTCTTTCCAGTCTCAATAAAGCTCATGCGAGTCGTATATACAACACTCGCGAGCAACTCATGCAGGACTACAATTCGGTCACAGGAAAACGGTAAAAAGCGTCCACGACCCAGAACATCGACTTCCGTAAAGCGTTCAGGATTCTCTAGCTCACGCCTTATTTAATTTAACTGTTAATCATTTTCACCACCATCTTACAACATACAATTCAGTGGCGCATGTATTGACTGTGTCAACGTTTGTCCGCGCCCAGGAAGTACACGTATGCGTGGGCTCCGTGCGCCAACAAGAGGGCGCTGTTTTAACCTCTTTTGAGAGCCCCGCCCGTGGAGTGGACGGGACGCAACGCGTGTGCATACCATAGTGGTCAATAAACAATCTAAAAACCACAAACATAAAGCCATGATATAAAAACACATGAGCCAAACGTTTTTCTTATCTTCAATTTTTATCAACAGATTAGGTGGAGCTGGTCAACTTTGGGTGGTCTTAAAACTATCAACAAAGGTAGGAAACAGGATTTTTTTCTTTCTCTTTGTGCAAATAATATTTTGTTGAAAGTGTATGGCATTGGATGACATCGTGTGAAATCCTTTTGTAGTTTATGCCAATTCTGTTTTAATTCGATACAAGCATATGTTACTTGAAGTCAAAGTAAATCTAATTTTTGCGCCGTTTATTTATAAGAGTTGGCGTTGTTGGGCATGCAACCGTGGAGCTATGACGTAATTACAGGGCTCAATATAAAGCTCAGGGATTTGGCCCATTTTGCTGATTCATTCAAAATTGCAAAAGCAGAAAAGTCACGATTTATAAAATGTCACGGTCATGGCATTGATTCTGCTCATTGAATGCGAGGGGTGCAAAAACTTGCTCATCATTTTAACTCTAAAATGCTGAGTCACCGTTACACAGCACGTTTTATTCTGTAGCACTGTGGGATGAAAATTTGTGTCAATAGAGGGATTTTACTTTAATTTGTTTACCAGTAAACATGGACGTTTATCTAATCTCATCAGTCACTGTGAAAGCATCATTAAAGGGGCCCAGTATTTTGTATAGGGGTTTTTCTTTAATCTATATCATGCAAAACAATTGGGAGGGTTCCCTTTTGATTTGGACTCTGCGAGGTTTGGAAAGAAAAACTAATTCATTTTTAGCTCCAAAGTCCAAACGCTGAGTCATGCTTAGTCAGCACTTTATTGTGCATGCATTCTACAGTGCAAACTGTCTGCATTCTTTTCCACATAACTTAATGAGAATTAAGTACAAAACACGTTACATATAAATCAGGACTGATGCAAATTGTCCTCGGGTTAGCTGATTTCTTTTCTTTTACTGGTCATGTACGTATGCCATTAAAAATGGAAAACACCACAGAGTCTTGTAAAGCTGGGAATTTACTCCTTTTTTGGGGGGGGTGACTTAGTGATCCAGTTGTAGGAGAGTTGTATGCCTGATAGATAATGTTATTATTGATTTATTAATTAACTAAAATTAACATTTCGTTAATTCACCTCATTACAGCAGACATGAAGATGATTAAACTTTCCCTACTCATTGACAATTTGCTTGCACTGAATTTATGGGATGTAATTTGCGTGGAGATTGGTTGGTTCGAGTCCCACCCGAGTCCCTTGGACTCTTGGAGGCTTGGACAACACTGAGTGTACAGTGTTTATGCAACAAATCGGTGATGGGCAAAACAATAATTATAGGCTTATTAGTTGTACTGTACGTTTTACTTCAATGAGTGTTTAAAACCACACGACCCGCAAATCCCGTAGGCCTACGGTACTGAGTTTGCTTACCAGTAATCCAATTACGGAAGGCACTGTCTTTGCGAACGAACTCTCCCTTAAGATTAGTAGTATCCTTCTTCCCGGTGTTAGTCGTGGTTGCAGACATGTCGGTTGAATGAGTAAGACGAGGAGCAGACGACAGGGAAAACGGAAGACCGGCCGATTTGAACAGCAGACAACCTTTTGAAAATGATGAAATGAACGGGGCCTTATTGCAGCCGATCAGCACAAAATTCGCCGCAAAAGCCTTGCGAATCACATTCATTAAAGACTAATATTTTTGAACACGTTTGTATTGAACGATTATATGTTTTGAACTCGTCGTCTGTGAACTCCGATGTCGACACAAATAAAAACAAAACGGGAAGAATTTGTGCTATCAGTCGGGTACGCTGTTTTTACAGCATCGCTTGCGTTTCGAGAAGTCGGGGTTTCAATTTCAACCACTGCAGAGCGCCCTCAAGTGTCTGTTATGGACATCCCATAGAGATTTTGTGCTTAGACTGGGTAAGCGCAGACTGAATTTTCTGTTAAAGTGCTAGCGCCGTTACCACAGAATGGTGATCGAAAGTTTGGAATTCTGTGGTTAATATTAGCAGCGCCATGAAATAATTGGGCCCGAGGTGACATATATATTCGTTCACGTGACATGTTTCATGCATGCGCATGTTTCAAAAATGAGCTAGTCCTATGAAACTCAGGAAAGTTTGAGATCTCAATTAAAACTTCAAATGAAACCTTTTCCAACTGCGCCGGAGATGCGATTGAAGCCACGTTAATAATTAAATTTAAAGGTTTCTAGTATGCGATTTTTCAGTTTCCATAAATTGGAATGCTAGTAACAATATTTACAAAAGCCTTTCGAGGGGGATTTTGTAAATCAATGTACATGTACCAAAAATAATTTTTAAAACTCCGACTTTTACACGCTAATAAGTTTCCTAATCGGGGGTCCGTAAGCGCGCCACCAGGGGTAAACATTCAGGCTATATTAAACCTCATCACGGGCACACAGCACGGCAGCCCCATGGAGAAATTGATGAAGATGCTTTTGTGGCCTTATGCGCGCGTGGAGTTAATTTTTCGATTGGTCAAAACTCATCAGTAACGACGAAATTGGTCTGCCGCCTTGCGTGCGCCCACTGAGCTACAGTCGATTCCAAATCATTCCTGCTGAGCTGTTGTGCTCGATTTGTTCAGTGCTGAAGTAAGTGCGCCTATCCTCAAGCCCCGCCCAATAGTATATTTGACCAATCACAGCCCCGATTAATGTCTGACACGCGTGCTGCATGCAAAGTCTGACATAGTTGTGTTTGTTTGAAACACAGCATGTTTTTTTTTTAACTATGTAGTACCGCAACCTGCAGATTCCGTATTATTGACTACATTTTAGAAATGCGAGCATGTTATACCACTTGAAAGGTTACCCATTGCTCAGTGTGAATTTATACTTCATAATTTCTTTAATTAACATTTTATGTTTGTTATTTAGTACCTTAGCTATTAAACGACCATTGACAAAAGCTGACCATCGTTGAAAAAAAGATACGAAAATTCCGCTTTTCTTGAAAATGACAAAACAACATGCAGGTACCATGTTTTCACAGGATGCTTGAGACTATTATTTTATACTTACCGTCAAGTATAATTATATAAGGTATTGCCTAAATCATTGGTTGTTTCGTTTGTCGATGTTTGCAGATGTTGTATATTACCTTAATTTAAGGTCGCGGAATATGCTAGCAATTTGGTTCTGCTGTAGTAAGCCCCCCCCCCCCTCCCCGCTATTCATTAATTTACCAAATAGTGCCACTAATTGGGATGTAGAAAAACAATTTAAAAAAAAACCCTGAAGAAGCCCTATTGCCGTTCTAACCGAGAGAGTCATATACCAAAAAAAATAAGACTTCAGAAAATATAGAACGCGACTCGCTTTTTTTATCATGCGCAAAAGGGGTTCTTTTTATCAGAAGGGTAAAAAATACGTCATGGTTACGTAACGAGAGTATAGTATAAAAAGCATTGCTACAAAGATCTGCGAGTCCACTTTGGTCTAAAACGTAATACCAAACAGGTCCTGTCTTTCAGTTGATAGGTAGAGGTATACGGTTGGTACGAAATGGCGGCTCTAGAAAGCAATCCATCTTGGATCGAATGTGTGTCCACCAACAGCTCAACTCTTGTAGTCAATGGCACACTCACGGTGGACGATGGAGGGCGCGTTAACCACGGGCGCTGGCTCATGATCGTTGTGGCGATTGGTTTGCTGGCTAATTTCGCCTTCTTACTCGTTGTGGCTCGGTGTGAATCCATGCGTAACGTCACCAATGTCTACCTGGCCAATCTGGCTATTGCTGACATCATCGTCTTGATTGTGTGCGCAATTCCCCTCGTGAGCGACACGTCGCCTTCTCAACCAAAATCTCGGGGTGTGTCTTTTTGGTCTTTGCGACGACGCCGTACTATTCGAGTATGTCAATCGTGTCTCTGGTCGCCTGGGGTCGATTTTGTGCCATCTGTAAGCCGATCAAGCACAGGGCAACATCGAGCGTAAAGCAAAGCATGAGACTAGTTGCTGCAGCTTGGCTCAGTAGCCTCGTTACTGCGTTGTCGTGTATTTGGAGCGCATCATCACTTCAGAGAAATGTGAGGTGTATGGCGTAACATCACCCAACAATCCTCTTATCGAGAGCTGCAACAAGACACACGGGTTCAATCCTTCCCCATCTCTGAGTGACGTCTTCAAAGTCCTACCCTTCGTCTTGTGTCTCTCCATGAATTGTTGGCTGTACGCGCGCATCGTCAAAAACCTCAGAAATCGATTTGTGCATCGCATGAATCGCCCCAACCAGCAGGTACCGGAGTGGATCAGGAAGATCCACCAATCACGGGTCCGTATCACCAGGATGCTTGCTCTCAACAGCTTCATTTTCCTCCTCTGCAACACGCCTAGGTGTGTGACCACAATCAGTGGTTACATCCACGACACCCTGGGGGAGCCTCGCTGGGACGCGGACCAGAAGGTCCAAATGTTCTCCAGCATGCTCCTCCTCGTCAACTCCAGTATAAACCCTCTCATCTACAACTTGACCAACAAGCAGTACAGACAGGCTTTCCGTCAGGTCTTCCTGCCGTCTTGTCGCTCAGCGTCTCGGCCAAGTCAGACAACGCCCACCGTTTTCCACCTGCAGATTTCTTCTGACTGATCAGACTATCATACACGACTCGAGTCTGTCTGTCGTATTGACGTATTAATACGCAAAACTATACCTTTCGTTAGTGCACGCATCCGTTAGCGTTGTAGTCTTTGTGATATTCTAGCACATTATTGACATTTGAATGAGAGATAAAACGAACAAACTCCACCCATGTTTAGTTAAAATGTTGGTTAAATTTTTGCCGCCCGACAATGATTATTGGAGTCTTTTTTTTGTGAGCTAGAGGCGCGAAAGCAACCCAAAAATAAATACCTTTTTATGTTTGCGCAAACGCCACTGTAAGGGGAGCATTTTCGTTCAAAATAATTAAACATACAAATTGAAATTTTGTGAGAAGAAAAAATCGAATTCGTTAAAAAGAGTATGCACGAATAAGGTGTAAACTGGCCAGAATATGATGCAATAGAAACCGAATTAGGTTTAAATTATAGATTTATTAAATGCTTCCATATTTTCGTTAACTGATGCCACTAAATTTGAGGTAGCTAGATGGGTACATGTAGCCTCCAAAACGGATCCCTTGAAAAGAAAAAAAATGTAGGTCAAATAGCATGATGCCACGAGTAGCGACACTTCGTGGATGCATAACAGCGCAGTTTGACACTCTGTGCTTACGTTGCGATGGCAACAACATTCCTATCAATAAACCTTGGTAATTGGAACAGCGCAATATATTAACTGAACAAGCCCGTCTTTTGAGAATCTTTTTCGAGCTGTTAAACACGAAGCTTTGTAAAAACATGGTCTTTATGGGTTCAACGGGGTTTGACAAATGCGACATCCTGTACATAGGGGTATATACAGTTTCATTTGCGATTTCTGAAATTGGAGAAAATGTCACAGAGTGTGCAAGGTGCAGTTGAAATTTCTGAGAGCTGTGGCTTTCGTTTTTAATGATAGTGCCTCAAAATTATCCTAAGTGATTGATTGTGTCTCTCAGAATCATTGTTAAGACTTTTCATTTGGATGATGATGTAGATAATCAGAAGCTATACAGCAAGAAAGAAATGAGGTTTATCGGTTTCTGGTACTGTTATTGGTATCCGTCAGTTTGTCGTCTGACGGCGGTGTAGCTGCTCTCTGCAGCTCACCTTACTGCCCGCCACCCTGGCGTGCTTTCCAGGGGCACTGCTACCTGTGGGTGGACAAACCAATGTCCTGGATGGATGCTGAGCGTTACTGCCAGATGCTGTCCCATCCGGGGGAAGATGGTCCACCTTGCGTCCATCCACAGCGAAGAGGAGGATGAATTCATCAAAAATGTACGTCAGGAAATCGTCGGCCAGCCCCACGCCAACTCCGTACTGGATTGGCTGCAGTGACATCGAACAGGAGGGTCATTTCCGGTGGAGTGATGGATCTGACGTGTTACGAGGGCTGGTGGCCAGGGGAACCAAATAACGTAGGAGAGGAAGACTGCACCGAGAACCTATTTCAGTTTAGCGGCAAATGGAATGATGTGCGGTGCATGAATGAAAACAATTTTGTCTGCAAACGCTAGATATTATACAGGGTGAGTAAACAAAAAAAAAACGAAACCAAAATGGCCGGGACCAATTTTTAATGAAGTTTTGCCTGTAGCACTTTCAAAATCTAGGATATGAAAGCCCAGTCAATGAGCTTTTTTTTAGTTCAAGAATCATTCAAATCACTCGATCATGTACTTTTCCGTTATGAATTTTGAACACAAATAACGTTGTAAAGTTCTGTCCACGGATCACAAAAAGGTAAGTGTTCTTTCAGCAAAACAAAAACAATTCACATGCATGCATGAGAATTGTTTTTGTTTTGCTGAAAGAACACTTACTTTTTGTGATCCGTGGACAAACTTTAAAACGGTGTTAGTGTTCAAAAACCGTAACTTGAAAAGTACATGAGTTTCGAATGATTCTTGAACTAAAAGAAAGCTAATGACTGGGCTTTCATATCCTAGATTTTGAAAGTGCTACAGGCAAAACTTCATTAAAAATGGTCCCGGCCATTTTGGTTTCGTTTTTTTTTTGTTTACTCACCCTGTATAATATCTAGCGTTTGCAGACAAAATTGTTTTCATCATGCACCGCACATCATTCCATTTGCCGCTAAACTGAAATAGGTTCTCGGTGCAGTCTTCCTCTCCTACGTTATTGGTTCCCCTGGCCACCAGCCCTCGTAGGACACGTCAGATCCATCACTCCACCGGAAATGACCCTCCTGTTCGATGTCACTGTAGCCAATCCAGTACGGAGTTGGCGTGGGGCTGGCCGACGATTCCTGACGTACATTTTGATGAATTCATCCTCCTCTTCGCTGTGGATGGACGCAAGGTGGACCATCTTCCCCGGATGGGACAGCATCTGGCAGTAACGCTCAGCATCCATCCAGGACATTGGTTTGTCCACCACAGGTAGCAGTGCCCTGGAAAGCACGCCAGGGTGGCGGGCAGTAAGGTGAGCTGCAGAGAGCAGCTACACCGCCGTCAGACGACAAACTGACGGATCAATAACAGTACCAGAAACCGATAAACCTCATTTCTTCTTGCTGTATAGGCTTCTGATTATCTACATCATCATCAAATGAAAAGTCTTAAACAACGATTTGAGAGACAATCAATCAACTTAGGATAATTTTGAGGCACTATCATTAAAAACGAAAGTCACAGCTCTCAGAAATTTCAACTGCACCTTGCACACTCTGTGACATTTTCTCCAATTTCAGAAATCGCAAATAAAAACTGTATATACCCCTGTACAGGATGTCGCATTTGTCAAACCCCGCTGAACCCATAAAGACCATGTTTTACAAAGTGGTTAACAGCTCGAAAAAGATTCTCAAAAGACGGGCTTGTCAGTTAAATATTGCGCTGTTCCAATTACCAAGGTTTATTGATAGGATGTTGTTGCCATCGCAACGTACGCACAGAGTGTCAAACTGCGCTTATGCATCCACGAAGTGTCGCTACTCGTGGCATCATGCTATTTGAACCTACATTTTTTTCTTTCAAGGGATCCGTTTTGGAGGCACATGTACCCATCTAGCTACCTCACGAATTACAGTGGCATCAGTTAACGAAAATATGGAAGCAGTTAATGAAATCTATAAATTTAAACCTAATTCGGTTTCTATTGCATCATATTCTGGCCAGTTTACACCTTATTCGTGCATACTCTTTTAACGAATTCGATTTTTTCTTCTCACAAAATTTCAATTTGTATGTTTAATTATTTTGAACGAAAATGCTCCTTACAGTGGCGTTTGCGCAAACATAAAAAGGTATTTATTTTTGGGTTGCTTTCGCGCCTCTAGCTCACAAAAAAAGACTCAAAATCAACGCGGGCGGCAAAAATTTAACCAACATTTTAACTAAACATGGGTGGAGTTTGTTCGTTTTATCTCTCATTCAAATGTCAATAATGTGCTAGAATATCACAAAGACTACAACGCTAACGGATGCGTGCACTAACGAAAGGTATAGTTTTGCGTATTAATACGTCAATACGACAGACAGACTCGAGTCGTGTATGATAGTCTGATCAGTCAGAAGAAATCTGCAGGTGGAAAAACGGTGGGCGTTGTCTGACTTGGCCGAGACGCTGAGCGACAAGACGGCAGGAAGACCTGACGGAAAGCCTGTCTGTACTGCTTGTTGGTCAAGTTGTAGATGAGAGGGTTTATACTGGAGTTGACGAGGAGGAGGAGCATGCTGGAGAACATTTGGACCTTCTGGTCCGCGTCCCAGCGAGGCTCCCCCAGGGTGTCGTGGATGTAACCACTGATTGTGGTCACACACCTAGGCGTGTTGCAGAGGAGGAAAATGAAGCTGTTGAGAGCAAGCATCCTGGTGATACGGACCCGTGATTGGTGGATCTTCCTGATCCACTCCGGTACCTGCTGGTTGGGGCGATTCATGCGATGCACAAATCGATTTCTGAGGTTTTGACGATGCGCGCGTACAGCCAACAATTCATGGAGAGACACAAGACGAAGGGTAGGACTTTGAAGACGTCACTCAGAGATGGGGAAGGATTGAACCCGTGTGTCTTGTTGCAGCTCTCGATAAGAGGATTGTTGGGTGATGTTACGCCATACACCTCACATTTCTCTGAAGTGATGATGCGCTCCAAATACACGACAACGCAGTAAACGAGGCTACTGAGCCAAGCTGCAGCAACTAGTCTCATGCTTTGCTTTACGCTCGATGTTGCCCTGTGCTTGATCGGCTTACAGATGGCACAAAATCGACCCCAGGCGACCAGAGACACGATTGACATACTCGAATAGTACGGCGTCGTCGCAAAGACCAAAAAGACACACCCCGAGATTTTGGTTGAGAAAGGCGACGTGTCGCTCACGAGGGGAATTGCGCACACAATCAAGACGATGATGTCAGCAATAGCCAGATTGGCCAGGTAGACATTGGTGACGTTACGCATGGATTCACACCGAGCCACAACGAGTAAGAAGGCGAAATTAGCCAGCAAACCAATCGCCACAACGATCATGAGCCAGCGCCCGTGGTTAACGCGCCCTCCATCGTCCACCGTGAGTGTGCCATTGACTACAAGAGTTGAGCTGTTGGTGGACACACATTCGATCCAAGATGGATTGCTTTCTAGAGCCGCCATTTCGTACCAACCGTATACCTCTACCTATCAACTGAAAGACAGGACCTGTTTGGTATTACGTTTTAGACCAAAGTGGACTCGCAGATCTTTGTAGCAATGCTTTTTATACTATATACTCTCGTTACGTAACCATGACGTATTTTTTACCCTTCTGATAAAAAGAAACCCTTTTGCGCATGATAAAAAAAAGCGAGTCGCGTTCTATATTTCTGAAGTCTTATTTTTTTTGGTATATGACTCTCTCGGTTAGAACGGCAATAGGGCTTCTTCAGGGTTTTTTTTTAAATTGTTTTTCTACATCCCAATTAGTGGCACTATTTGGTAAATTAATGAATAGCGGGGAGGGGGGGGGGGGCTTACTACAGCAGAACCAAATTGCTAGCATATTCCGCGACCTTAAATTAAGGTAATATACAACATCTGCAAACATCGACAAACGAAACAACCAATGATTTAGGCAATACCTTATATAATTATACTTGACGGTAAGTATAAAATAATAGTCTCAAGCATCCTGTGAAAACATGGTACCTGCATGTTGTTTTGTCATTTTCAAGAAAAGCGGAATTTTCGTATCTTTTTTCAACGATGGTCAGCTTTTGTCAATGGTCGTTTAATAGCTAAGGTACTAAATAACAAACATAAATGTTAATTAAAGAAATTATGAAGTATAAATTCACACTGAGCAATGGGTAACCTTTCAAGTGGTATAACATGCTCGCATTTCTAAAATGTAGTCAATAATACGGAATCTGCAGGTTGCGGTACTACATAGTTAAAAAAAAAACATGCTGTGTTTCAAACAAACACAACTATGTCAGACTTTGCATGCAGCACGCGTGTCAGACATTAATCGGGGCTGTGATTGGTCAAATATACTATTGGGCGGGGCTTGAGGATAGGCGCACTTACTTCAGCACTGAACAAATCGAGCACAACAGCTCAGCAGGAATGATTTGGAATCGACTGTAGCTCAGTGGGGCGCACGCAAGGCGGCAAGACCAATTTCGTCGTTACTGATGAGTTTTGACCAATCGAAACAATTAACTCCACGCGCGCATAAGGCCACAAAAGCATCTTCATCAATTCTCCATGGGGGCTGCCGTGCTGTGTGCCCGTGATGAGGTTTAATATAGCCTGAATGTTTACCCCTGGTGGCGCGCTTACGGACCCCGATTAGGAAACTTATTAGCGTGTAAAAGTCGGAGTTTAAAAATTATTTTGGTACATGTACATTGATTTACAAAATCCCCCTCGGAAAAGGCTTTTGTAAATATTGTTACTAGCATTCCAATTTATGGAAACTGAAAAATCGCATACTAGAAACCTTTAAATTTAATTATTAACGTGGCTTCAATCGCATCTCCGGCGCAGTTGGAAAAGGTTTCATTTGAAGTTTTAATTGAGATCTCAAACTTTCCTGAGTTTCATAGGACTAGCTCATTTTTGAAACATGCGCATGCATGAAACATGTCACGTGAACGAATATATATGTCACCTCGGGCCCAATTATTTCATGGCGCTGCTAATATTAACCACAGAATTCCAAACTTTCGATCACCATTCTGTGGTAACGGCGCTAGCACTTTAACAGAAAATTCAGTCTGCGCTTACCCAGTCTAAGCACAAAATCTCTATGGGATGTCCATAACAGACACTTGAGGGCGCTCTGCAGTGGTTGAAATTGAAACCCCGACTTCTCGAAACGCAAGCGATGCTGTAAAAACAGCGTACCCGACTGATAGCACAAATTCTTCCCGTTTTGTTTTTATTTGTGTCGACATCGGAGTTCACAGACGACGAGTTCAAAAACATATAATCGTTCAATACAAACGTGTTCAAAAATATTAGTCTTTAATGAATGTGATTCGCAAGGCTTTTGCGGCGAATTTTGTGCTGATCGGCTGCAATAAGGCCCCGTTCATTTCATCATTTTCAAAAGGTTGTCTGCTGTTCAAATCGGCCGGTCTTCCGTTTCCCTGTCGTCTGCTCCTCGTCTTACTCATTCAACCGACATGTCTGCAACCACGACTAACACCGGGAAGAAGGATACTACTAATCTTAAGGGAGAGTTCGTTCGCAAAGACAGTGCCTTCCGTAATTGGATTACTGGTAAGCAAACTCAGTACCGGTAGGCCTACGGGATTTGCGGGTCGTGTGGTTTAAAACACTCATTGAAGTAAAACGTACAGTACAACTAATAGGCCTATAATTATTGTTTTGCCCATCACCGATTTGTTGCATAAACACTGTACACTCAGTGTTGTCCAAGCCTCCAAGAGTCCAAGGGACTCGGGTGGGACTCGAACCAAACCAATCTCCACGCAAATTACATCCCATAAATTCAGTGCAAGCAAATTGTCAATGAGTAGGGAAAGTTTAATCATCTCATGTCTGCTGTAATGAGGTGAATTAACGAAATGTTAATTTTAGTTAATTAATAAATCAATAATAACATTATCTATCAGGCATACAACTCTCCTACAACTGGGATCACTAAGTCACCCCCCCAAAAAAGGAGTAAATTCCCAGCTTTACAAGACTCTGTGGTGTTTTCCATTTTTAATGGCATACGTACATGACCAGTAAAAGAAAAGGAAATCAGCTAACCCGAGGACAATTTGCATCAGTCCTGATTTATATGTAACGTGTTTTGTACTTAATTCTCATTAAGTTATGTGGAAAAGAATGCAGACAGTTTGCACTGTAGAATGCATGCACAAATAAAGTGCTGACTAAGCATGACTCAGCGTTTGGACTTTGGAGCTAAAAATGAATTAGTTTTTCTTCCAAACCTCGCAGAGTCCAAATCAAAAGGGAACCCTCCCAATTGTTTTGCATGATATAGATTAAAAAAAAACCCCATATACAAAATACTGGGCCCCTTTAATGATGCTTTCACAGTGACTGATGAGATTAGATAAACGTCTATGTTTACTGGTAAACAAATTAAAGTAAAATCCCTCTATTGACACAAATTTTCATCCCACAGTGCTACAGAATAAAACGTGCTGTGTAACGGTGACTCAGCATTTTAGAGTTAAAATGATGAGCAAGTTTTTGCACCCTCGGCATTCAATGAGCAGAATCAATGCCATGACCGTGACATTTTATAAATCGTGACTTTTCTGCTTTTGCAATTTTGAATGAATCAGCAAAATGGGCCAAATCCCTGAGCTTTATATTGAGCCCTGTAATACGTCATAGCTCCACGGTTGCATGCCCAACAACGCCAACTCTTATAAAATAAACGGCGCAAAAATTAGATTTACTTTGACTTCAAGTAACATATGCTTGTATCGAATTAAAACAGAATTGGCATAAACTACAAAAGGATTTCACACGATGTCATCCAATGCCATACACTTTCAACAAAATATTATTTGCACAAAGAGAAAGAAAAAAATCCTGTTTCCTACCTTTGTTGATAGTTTTAAGACCACCCAAAGTTGACCAGCTCCACCTAATCTGTTGATAAAAATTGAAGATAAGAAAAAACGTTTGGCTCATGTGTTTTATATATCATGGCTTTATGTTTGTGGTTTTTAGATTGTTTATTGACCACTATGGTATGCACACGCGTTGCGTCCCGTCCACTCCACGGGCGGGGCTCTCAAAAGAGGTTAAAACAGCGCCCTCTTGTTGGCGCACGGAGCCCACGCATACGTGTACTTCCTGGGCGCGGACAAACGTTGACACAGTCAATACATGCGCCACTGAATTGTATGTTGTAAGATGGTGGTGAAAATGATTAACAGTTAAATTAAATAAGGCGTGAGCTAGAGAATCCTGAACGCTTTACGGAAGTCGATGTTCTGGGTCGTGGACGCTTTTTACCGTTTTCCTGTGACCGAATTGTAGTCCTGCATGAGTTGCTCGCGAGTGTTGTATATACGACTCGCATGAGCTTTATTGAGACTGGAAAGAGTTGTAATGCCCGGATGCACACAATTGATCAGACGACCTAGCAGTCAACATTTGCCCGTAAAAATGGCTGGAAAGTGCCTCATTTGGGGCCTCATTTGCGGCCTCATATGCGGCCTAATTTCCTGGAGGGGAGGGGGCACTTTAAAGCTCATTTATCCCCCTTCCCCTTTCGCCGTTATTCATGTAATAATAATAAAAAAAGCCACAGTTATATCCCAAGGTTAAACATGCCATCGTCTTCCTCATGCAGTACTTTTAACTGCTGTGATACCTCGGTAACTGGCATCTGGCGCCATATAGTTTGAGGATCAGGCATTCATGTGTGCAGAGCCACACCACGAACGCCTGATATATCATTGCATGCAAATTTTATGCGACCCCGCGTTCCAGCCAATCGGAGTCGACTGTACAAACTGATACGTCATTTCGATCAGAATGTGGACTAAAGTGTTGATTGGTCAGTTTGTCTGCCATGTTTTTGTAATACAATAACGGGTTACGCAGGACCCGATAGAAGGCGCCCGCTGAATGGTCAGGATCAGGAGATCAAGACGCAGATATGTTTTGCATAATTGATCGCGAATATTCGCGAAATCATAGACGCTTGTCTGCAACCTTATTCCATAGACTACTGGCGCCCTTGCCCTACCAACTGTTCCCTGCAGCTTTGCTGAAAAGTGTTTGTTCACAAAACCAAAAGTTTGTTTTTCTCAATTTTAATAAAGCTTGATTTTTTTGTTTGATCCGTCCAATTTTAACCCCAACCACTAAAGAACCTTGTACCCAATCCATTGTGTATGCATGGGAGCGAGGTTATTTCAATTGTACACAATGTTATGCTGTACCGCGGAACGAAAATAAAACACATGCATTGTCCCATCTCATTTAACCTGCCCTGAAGAAAGATTAACCGGTGATGTGAACTTTTCCCACAAAATACTATTGAAGTTGCTTTTTAGTCTGTGAACGGAAGGGTCAAACTCTACCTCTTTAAGAAAAACCCGATTTGTCATTTCATTTGACCTGCCCCTAGAAAGATTATCATTCGATTTTTCTCTTCGCAAAATGCCCTAAGTGCGAACAACAGCAAATGAATAAACATAACTTGTTTCTTTAAAAACAAAATCACCTCATTGTTATTTGGAAAATTGGATGGATTTTTCTTCGGGTCGTCGGATTATTATTATTAATTTTTTGTTTACAAATGTGACCTGACAACAATGATCAAACTAACGAATAAACAGTAGACCTTGGCCGTCTTCACGGGTTATTAAACACAACTTTCTAATTATGGTCGCCGGATAAGTTTATATCTGTTTTTGATGGATTTGGTGTAGACTTTTTTAATTTTTGTATCCAATAACAAAGTTAACGCCAACATCATTAAAGTGCAGTACATGTATAATGCTTTATTTTTGTGCCATGATTGAGAAAATCATTAAGGATTATACACTGAATCAGGTTGACATGTACGAGTATAATTTGCTCAACGATAAATACGAACAATGTAAATAAAATATACATGAGTTAAATTACATGAACTTGCAACTACTTGCAGACTGCTAGTAAACGAGTTGTTTGAGGATGAATTCCATTCATATCACGGAGTAAGTTAAACGTTTTTAAACAAAACATATAAAAACGCCAACTCTTTAAAACCACATCCCAAATTTGTACTGTTCTCAGCCTCTCGCTTGAACATTTTGGCCTGCTGAAAATAATACAGCATACATAATTATGTACTATTTACACGTGATCACAGAATCAGCTAGTGTTCTACAATCAACAAAGATTTCAGTTAAATATAAGTTCAATTACATGTATTATAAATGACCTGAATCATTAATAACATTGCAAATCGTGATATAAGAATACAATTTGAATCAAATGCGCATTTTCTACTGTTCAATTTGTTCCAGCTGTTTTGAACCATGCAGGGGATTATTCTGAAGCAAGTTGTTTGTTTCACGAAAATTTTCGATAGTTACGCAAACAAAATCTCCAAAACTAAATAAATATGAATGAGTTGTTTGATTTCATAATGATTACACTACCATTTTCAATTCCACATCCACTTTATATCATTAAAATTCTATAAACCACAGATTCAGTCATTCTAACACGAAATGGCTGTTAGATAAATTAATTCATGAGTCCTGTGTCCTGTGGTTGTTTACTTCACCTGATGTATGTACATAATGTTAGTTTAAAAGAAAACTTTGAACTTCAAAACAATTTCAGCGCATGGACATTGCATTGTGTAAAGCACCAATCGACAAGTTACTGTTATATTATCAGCTTTCTGAGTACTAAATCAGTTAAACACAACAAATTGTCGACTTGAAATTTCGTTGAACTGCCTCTCAGCTCTTTCAGTCTTCTTCCCGTTAAATAAAAATCCTAATTGGTACCTATTTAACCATCACCCCAGCTCTCTCAAGACCACGAGCTCCAACTCCAGTTTCTTTCTTAGAGCTTCACGTCAACGTACGTGTGACTGTCTCCCTTCTCGATCTCGTCGAAGTACAGAGCATCTTGACCGCCTGCAGCCACGCTTGTGGTGTCCAACACACTTGGTAGCTCTCCCTTGGTGTAAGGTGGAGGCATGCTGTACGCACCAGGCTCCATGCCGTCCGTTGGCACAACTGCGCCCTCATTGACGGCAGCAGGTTCCACGGTCACGTTCAAGTTACCGCGTATGCCGTGGGTGCGTCTGTCGATGACCGTGCTGGCCCCGTCGCGGTAGACCACGCGTATCTCGTCGTCTCGTCGCTTGGTGCTGAGTTTCACCGTCTTGTAGAGGAAGACGAAGATGAGGATGAGGATTGCGATGATGATGACTGGGAGGATGGCGAGAACTGCGATGACTGGGGTGCTCATGGTGCTGTGGTGGTTGTACAAGCCTTGATTGTCTTTAGATGGCGTGGTTTCTTTGGTGGGCGTCTTGGTAGTAGTTTTGTCGGGTTTGGTGACAGGTTCCACTCCAGGTTGAGTTGTTGGAGCTGAAGTGGAGGGATTGGTGGGCGGAGCTTGAGTTGATTCCTCGGGGGTTGTGTGCACGATAGGCTCAGGTGGGATGGGCACTTCGGGTTGGGTTGGTACGGGCTCGGTGGTGTTAGGGAGGACGGGTACCAGTGTGGATAAAATAGACACCCCGTGATCGTTAGTCACAACACAGGTGATGT